CAATACCTTTGCTAGAAAACTAGTTTCATATAATAAAAATATATAACCCTGGACTCATATACCATGAAAATGCAAATAGAAAGGCATCCCAATATTTTTCTTCCAAACTTTTTCATAAAAACTGAGCTATATTTTATGACACTCTAAGCATGATGCTGTGACTAAAATTGTCTTGCTGAACATCTGCATTGTGATTACTGGAGGCTTTAGCATTTGATGCCAGAAGAAATGCAACTCTTACAGAGAGACCCATCTGGAGGAATGTGATGGTGAGTTTTAATCTTCATGCTATGCTGTATCAAGTATTACTGAATCAGATTCAAAACTTCACAATGTGTACATTCATTCAGACAAAATTAGAAAAACTAAAAATAAAAAAGAATATCATATAGCCACATGAGATGTTTTAGAGTAGGCGACTATCTCATAGTCTAAAGTTTCTATGTGGTAGACATTTCATCAAAATGAACAGAAGTTATCTTGTACTGGGGTATCATTGATATTTCTGAGTATAGCAGAATGTGATGGTTTCTAAAAGCAGGCTCCAAATAATGTGCTATGAGATCAAATCTGTGTTCATTAACTCACTTGCTCCATGTGCCACTTACTTCCTTTGAAACCAAATGTAACAAGTAGAGTTTTCTTGTAGTAGGTTTTGAACAGATGAAATAATAGGGACAATTATGGCTAATATCATGGACATAACAAGTCAACAATGCTCTTGATTTTTGTTTTCAGTAATTATATAATTATTTCAAAGTTGCTCTAAAATTTAAATAATAAAAAAATTACAATTTCAAATTCATTACTAACATTTTTTGCTAATATTAAAGTCTGTAGGAAGAGTAGACTTTTGGAGTCCTCTTGGGGTTATCATCTCTCATTTCTTTGAATTTATCTGTCAATTTTCCTTAATTGTTTGTATAAATTTCCTTTATTAAATGACAGATATGGTACCATGGAGTTTTACACAGTTGTGATCATATTTCTACAAGTGAAATAGTATTCCTCATCTTAGAGATAATCATCAATCATCATCAGGATTCTTTTCAACATTAATCATATTATTTATAACATTTTCATTCACTTATATCTCCTTAGTAGCTTTCAAATCCTTTGACTGACAATTCAGTAATAAATATATTTCATAGGGTACTCTAGAAGACACATTTCCATTTTACCACTTGGATAATAACTTCCCAACTTTTCCTACTCTCCTTTCTCTTCATCCCTTTCCTCCCCACCCCTTTAGTTCCATTCATTCTCTTTCATATATTACTTCATTACACCTGTCAGCTCCTGCCATCCAATTCTAGCTTATTTTAATTACTTAGGCACTTTCCCCCATTCTTATCTATAACATTTTTATCCTAACACATTTACATTTCACATTGTAAAATTCTAGACTAAACCTTTAAGTTGATTATACACTCAATAGAGAAAGCTATTTTCACATTCTGTAAACAATCACTCTCTTCCTCCTTGAGTTTGGATCTGTGCTAAATTTATCTTTAACCTTCTATAATTCAATAATGTTTATCATGAACTCTTCCATAAACAAATACATTCAAACAGTTATATAAAAGACTAATTTATTGATGCATTTTATATAATAAAATATCAGATTAAATGGCTAATTCCTTTTCAAATTTACAGGAATATTTTGCTTTGTTTACACTGATGTATACAGGGTGAATAATCAATAAAAATTTACATAAAATTATGAAGTCAAGGAATAAGGAAAAATTACATAACCTTGAAATATTATTGTTAACTGCAATTTTTCCTATTCATCCTTTATGCCAGTGACTCACAATGGCTGAATTATTGATATACATTTTTCAGTTTTTGCTCTTCCCATAAAATGATCACTAAGAAATACAATATTTTTCATTTAACTCATTCAGTCATGAACCAAGAGTATTATAATGGTCAATTAAATTAATATTTTATTATACTTTATAAAATATACAATTGAAATCGGATTGTAAAATGTTCAACAAATATTTTGATATTGCCAAAAATATTTTTCATACATTGTTAGAAGTCATTTATTCCAAAATTATAAAAAATACAAATTTGACATTAAGCTTGAACCATTAACATGTGCTTTTAATGACCTACTGTCAAAATTAAGAGATCACATGTAGTGAAAATAAGTTTTATCTTTATGTCATGAACAACAATTGGTTGGATCACATATGCACAAATCCCATGAATAAATGTCTCGCTGATTAGCAGTGTCTGGGGTAGAAGATCATATGGGATATCAAATACCATGAGAAACAAAGCTCCTTCTGAAAGGTAACTGGCGATGGGCAAGCCCTACCCTGGGTATGAGCATGACTGCAACAGAGATCTAGAAGAGCATAACAACACTGGAGTTAATACTTATTCTATTTCTCTACAGTTTGAAGTTCATAAGAGTATAAGTCCTTACTGTGGTGTAATCATCATTGTAATTAGTTCCAATCTTGATATAAAATTACAGGAACCTGTTGAATAATATATAGGGTTTTTGTGGGGTTCTCTATGGTGAGGATTCAATGGAAAATGGAATAAGACAATCTCACTCCTAGTTCAGGTGCAGCATTAAGTAAAACTGTTACTTCTTCCTGGAAGCTGTGATAGCTTGAATGCATTCAGCAAAGGCTATTTTATGTTGAACTTCCAAAATGGTGGTGTTTGAAAGTCTGATATAATACATATTTTGTCATGGAGTACCACCAACCTAATGGACTAGTATAGTTACCATGGCAACAGATAACTAGTAAACAGGATGTCTGATGCTCTCTCACATAATCTCTTTCTCACAGTCTTCTACCATGAAATGGTACATCAAGACAGAAATATAATAACCTGAGCCTATGTATTGTTTTAAGAAAAATATGAAGATATTGATTTTAATGAAGTATTCTCTTCAAAAGTTTTCAAAGTATATTCTGAAACTAAGCTGTATTAAAAATATTTCTTCATTAAGAGATTATCTCATATATAACTTGAGGAGAGTGAGAAGGAATATTAAAATAGATTATCCTCCTTATGTGGAAGTATATTATCTAATTTGTATTAGTGAAAGAAAAGTTCCTGAATATGCAATAAGATATATTTCTGTTGATCAATCAGAACTTTAAATACCCACTTGATTTAGATTTGCAAATGATAAAGTAATAATTGAGAAGAACAGAATAAAGATATATGAGTAAGTTCAGTTTATTAATAATGGATGCCAAAATTATAATAAGACACTGGTTTAGAATTCTGGTGCTGGTATTTGAAATAATATTAATCACATTTGCATTTTTAAAGATTGAAACAAAGGAAAAATCATACATTATCCAAAAGGGTTGGAGAAATAAAGTAGTTATTCATTTTGATGAGTAATACTGTCAGGAAATAATCCAAGTTTCCAAGTACAGTTGAAATTTAATCATATTTAAGATGGTTTGACAACGAAATGTGTATACATATATGAATAAGACAGAATATAAGTATTTTGAGCTTATTATTCTGGAATGTATTTAAGAAATAAATGAGGGACAATGCGAAAACTTAATCAATTGGGATAATTACCTGGAAGTCATTTAAATAGCTTTGTTTGTTTGCTTGCTTGCTTGTTTATTTATTTATTTTGGGTGAATGAGAGAGGTCTCGTGATTTATTAATATTAAACATTTAGTTGACAAAAAATTAATGTCACTGCCATTTGAAATTCTAGTACAATGTCTATATCATAGATTATTCCAGGATTCCTACAATATCTAGAGGATAATAACAAGGAGCCTGTATTTTTATTGACTCCAGGAGCCATATTTGCGAGAAAGATTGACAATTCGGCAAAGGCAGAGGGTGTGAATTTGAAATGCACTCAGTGACGTTGGAAGATGTTCTTTTCCCTGTCTTCCAGATAGAACACAGAGCAGAGACTTATGGGAGAAAAATGGAAGGGTTGTCCTGCCTCTGGTTTCTGGCCATCCAGGCAGTGTCAGTCATGGGCTTCCACTTGACTGGCCTCTCCCACAAATTCTGCACCACCATTATCCCAGTACATCAAAGAAGTAGGAGAGATTCTAAGTTGATGGTTTTGTGGCTGGGTTGATGTCCCAATCCCACTGCTAGCAGCCTTACCTGGTTATAGAAGATGGCCAGTTTGGGCTCCATATCTTCCATTACTAGGAGACTTTGATAAGGTCACTCTTAATGATACCAGGGAGCTTCCACTGCACTAGACATTTACAATACCACCCCAAATGTTCTGCTATTGCAACTGTTTCTCCAAGTACCCTCACCCTCTGTACCTCCTACCCCCAGCTGATCCTTACTGTTCCTATCCCAATATGCCTGAGTCACCATGCAAACTTTATTCTATTTTCCCTTCCCAGGGGTCCTTCCATGTGTCCTTGTTTTAGAGTTTGCTTTAAAAAATACCTTTGGTGAAGCCTACTTCAAATACAAAGGGCGCTATTTGTAAACATCAAAATAATGTAGCATGAATTGTGTAATTATTAATACAGCAGAATTAACAGATGATGTCTAAGAATATGGTAAAAAAGAAAGAATAATAATCTTAAATTTGTTTTTCAATTATTAAAATTTTATATATGAGTACATATTTGGTAAAGATGAAGGGTTGTTTTGAATTTGACTTTGCTGTGACCTCAGAAATGGCATTTAATGAAGGAGTTATTATTATTATTATTATTATTATTATTATTATTATTATTGTACTGTTTTGGGTGTTATCAGTATCTACGGCAGCCCTTCTGGGCAGCATGGCCAGAAAACCCATTATGTTTTGTCTTCCCCTTCACACGCAGCCTGTACCCTAATGGGAACCTGCTCTTCTCTGGGCATTCATCCTGACTGAAGGGCTCCAGGTCATTCAAATGTCAGGGATCAGCTGTGCTGTGGATATCATTTTATATAAATAAAACACTGATGGCCAGTCACCAGGCAGGAAGTATAGGTGGGACAAGGAGAGAGGAGAATTCTGGGAAGCGGAAGGCTGAGGGGAGACACTGCAGCCACCGCCAGGACAAGCAGCATGTGAAGACTCTGGTAAGCCACCAGCCACGTGGCAAGGTATAGATTTATAAAAATGGGTTAATTTAAGATCAAAGAACAGTTAGCAAGAAGCCTGCCATGGCCATACAGTTTATAAGTGATATAAGCGTCTGAGTGATTATTTTATAAGTGGGTTGTGGGACTGCGGGGCTTGGGGAACCTGGAGAGAAGCCCTCCAGCAACAAGCTGGATTTATCTATATACAAAAAAAATGATATGAAAAGAAAAAGGAAAGGAAAGAAAGAAATGAAAGGAAAAATATATTTCTTTGAGAAGGAAGAAAGGAAGACAAAGGAATTGAAAACATTGTTAAATTTTCCTTTCATAAAAAATGTTAACCATATTTTCAGTTAGCTCCAAACATAATCGACAATAAATTCTCAAACTTTACTTCAATAAGGTTCATTTGAATAAAAACTGAAATATGGTTTCTTTTTAATTATATACCCATCGCTGTGAGCTGCTAAACAAGCCACATCCATGAGGAACATGTATAATGTGACACTTTGGGAAGAAAATTCTGTGTCAGTATGATCACTGTATTTAAGTGAGAACATAGTTCAATGAGGATGTAGTTCTAATATTCACTATGCCCCAACATAACAGAAGAACCAAAGAAAACAGCCCTAAGGATATAGTATTTAAGAAAATCTTCTATACTGAAAAGGTAAGGAAAAATCAAACATATATATTTTTAATAGTTTGATGGGGAAATGTCTTTTTGTATGATGTGAATATGTGTTTCTCTGACTGTTGATAAATAAAGCTGTTTGGCCTATGGCAAGTGGGAAATTATAAAGGAGAGACAGGAAGAATGTGGAGGGAGATGCCAGCCTGCTGTCCAGGGTTCAGCATGTAATGGCACACAGGTAAAGCCTTGTAACACATGGCGACATATAGATTAACAAAAATGGGCTGATTTTAAGTGTAAGAGCTAGTCAGTGGGAGAGATTTGTCCTGACCACTGGTAGGCCTGGACACAGGAAATCTTCCAAAAACAATTATTTTCTATTTTATTCATACATAAGACAACTTAAAAAAAAGAATACTCTAGGATTTCATTTTTCTATACTTATAAGCATAATTTCACAGTAAAAGAGGCTATTGTACAATACATTACAAGCTATTCTGCTGCTAAAAGGACTTATTATTTCACTAGCTCCCTTTGAGAAGTGAGAAACATAGCCAATTATTTCAATCCAAGTAACCTTAGTATTGTACTTTGTTGCTGTGGTTTTTCATGCCATACTGGGGAATTTGGTGACTTCTTAATGGCAGGACAACCAAAAGTAGCATCTTTTTCTAAGCAGGAGCTGAGAGACAATGAATAAACTTAGAGTATAGTTCAAAGTAGTCATTCTCTTTGCAATGTTTCAATTAATTTAATAGATAGCAGAGATAATCATTAATTGTGGTTACAATTACAGATTTGTTTTAGATAGTCACTTTTGTCCTATGTAAAATCTAAAGATTATTTTTGAACTTTAAAAATAGCTGTACTTATAAGTAGTGGTTCCACAGGCAAAGGAACCCATAATTGGATTTTCTTTGTGATTATACAATTTCATACCTTTAAAAATTTTATTTAACAAAGAAATACACGAATCTTTGTTTAAAACACTTGAAAGTTTTATTTGTGAATGGATAAAGAAAAGTTTAGTATATGTTCACAATGTAATATTAAGTGTTATCTATCATAAAGAAGAATGAAACAGTCAGGCCACACCAACCAGAAGAACAAATAGGCTGGTCATTCTCAGAAGGGATCTTCCCCAACCCTCAGTTTGATTACCACAGACCCAATCTGCCTCCCTCACTCTATCACTCTCCTCCCCACTTCCCACCAATGTGGCCAGTTCCTGGCACCCAAATCAGTGTACATCCCCTGCTCAAATGCAGGCTACATCAGTCAGAAAAACAAGTAGTCAAACTCAGCCTGAGACTTTGATAGACTCAAGACTATGCCAGCCTCAACAACTTCCAGTAGGCTGTCTGTCCATGGAACTTCCTCTATTATTTCAGCATCCATCCCCTACTATCCCCAGCCCTACTCCCCCTGCATCACCTCCTAGCCCTCAACTTGTGAGGAAATTGGTTGCTAGACCATAAGCCATGTCAGCCACCAGAAGTCCTGGTCATCCATGTCCATCGGCCCTCAGACCTCCTCAGTCTCTTGCCTCCCCATCCTAAATCCCCTCCTTCTAATAGCTCTGTCTCAGCCACAAATTTGAGCAGAAACTCCATGCCCCAACAAAGGTTCCTCTAGGACCCAGACATAGCATACCTACTAGCAGATCCCCACCACTCTTTCAGTACCCCCCAAGCCTATCCTCAATCTTCTGCCTACCTTCTTCATTGCCTTATCCCAGCACCCACATCAGGTAGAGGCCCATTCCTCAAAAGGATACTACAGAGACCAGAAGACTAGAGAGGAAACAGAAATCAACGAACAAAATAACCATCCAAAAAAAGACAAACATAGACATTGGCACCAAGATGTATAATCACCCAAAACCCAGATGCCTGGATGACAACTTAAGAACATGACCAATAACAGCCAGGGCAATATGGTATCAGAGCCCAGCTAGCCTGAATGTTCTAAATAAGATTAAACACAAGAAAAATAAGAAGTCTTAAAACCAACTTTACAGAATAAAAAAGTCCTTAAAAAGGAAGTGAATAAATCCCTTAATGAAAGCCAGAAATGATAAATATTGAGCAAAATGAATAAATCCAATTAACAATATTAACTAAAAAAATCTGCTATACTCATAGATTGGTGCCTATCTCCATAAATTGGTGCCTATTCAATTGTCACCAAAGAAGCCTAATCAAGCACCTGATGGGAGCAGATGCAGAGACTCATAGCCAAATATTAGGTGGAGCTCAGGGAACCCTGCAGAAGCGGCGAGGTCATCTTTTAGGAACCGGAGTTGTTGAAGACACTAGAAAAACACAACCCAAAGAAATCAACTATGCCGAGTTCATAGACACTCACGAGACTGAAGTTGTAATCATGAAAACTGCATTGACCTGTGCTAGGTCCTCTGTATATGTGTTATGGTTGTTTGGCTTGGTGCTTATATGGGACTCCTAAGAGTGGGAGAGAATGGATGGGGCTCTGACTCTTTTGACTGCTGCTAGGACCCTTTCACTCTCATTTGTTGCCTTGTCCTACATTGATATGAGAGTTCATGCCCAGGTTTACTGTATCTTGTTATATCCTGTTTGGTTGGTATCCCTGGAAGTTTGGCTTTTTCCTAACTGAAGTAGAATCAATCTAGGGGAGAGGAGAGGTAGTGTGGGGGCATTAGGAGGAGTGCAATGGAGGGAGAGGAAACTGAAGGTGAGATATATTGTATAAGAGAAAAATAAATGAAATAAAAATTAAAAAGTAGAATGTATTTTTTAAAGAAAAGGGATGATCATATTAAGGACACTCTTAATAAAATCAGCTAAATTAAGAATGGTAATCATTGCATGTTTTGTTCATATGCTGAATACAGTTCTTTTTAATGAAATTAATATAGAAAGGGGTCCATTTTGGAAGATATGGGTATAAGTCAGGGGTGCATGGCATATAAAGTGGGCAACTGTAGTGTAAATATGACCAAGGTGTCTTAATTGCACACATAGAAATTTCATAATGAAAGTCATTATTCTGTACAAATAATATGTACTAATAACATAAATAAATGAATAATATGTGGGTTTTGGTTAGAGTATGACATTGTCAAGTCAAAGAAACACTTCACGCAAAATCAACGACTACATGCACCATAGTAGAAAGGATTAGCTCACTATAAGCAATGGATTTTCAGAGTAAGAATTTACATGGGAATATTTTCTTTTTAGTTGAATTGATACAAATCAAATATGAATATTGCCCCAAACAGAAAACTAATGGACAAACAGCTTTTGGAGCCTTTATACTTGTTGAACAGTGAGCCCAAATAGCTCCTCAATCTATCTAAAGTTCTGCTTCCCTCCGTAGTGTATCAGTGTGCACTGGCAAATATCTGAAGAAGATATTATGAAATGTTGGTCTTAGTCTTATAAACTCCTGCTTTTTAGTGTAGTATTTCTGCAGGATTTTATATATATATATATATATATATATATATATATATATATATTATAATGCTGGTGTTTTCGCTTTTAGTTTATTTCTATTGATTGTTGTAGAAATATTGGCCCCAAATTTATTACACATCTCTTTAGGTAGCAGGAATTGCTGACACCATGGAACAAAATAAAATATTATAACTACATATGTTGTAGTGCCAGTTCTGAAGAAGATTAAATTAAACATTCACTAATGAAAAGGACCCTGCAACAAATCTAAGATAAACATTTGTATATTGTCACATGATTGTTATTCCTTAGAATAAATATGGACCATGAACTGAATCTTGCAGAGAAATAAGAGTCAAGAGTCTATCTCCTCACCTTATGAGTAAATTAATTTGAGTTTTCTAGTGTTTTGACATAAAATCTCCACCTGAAGCAGAATCAAATGACCATTAAAGTCATATGGTGAAGCTTGACGCATGAAGCTATTTCTATCTCATTCTCAAGTGTAAATTTTAAAAGTATTAGAAAGAAATCATAAATATATATCAATATATGATGGATCAACTAGGTATGTAAAGGAAAATTAAAATAGCAATTTTGATATATGAATGAAATTAATACTATAAGTAATGATGAATGAAGTTTCAGAGAAACAAAGGAGATTAAAGTGTATAAAAATAAGTGATAAGGGAGACATCCAAAGAGAAGCTTATAGAAATATATGAATGGGTAATGTTTGAAGTATACAAAGGCAATGAATATGCCCTTAATTGAGCTAATATCAGAGATTTGCAATGTCAAAAAACAAAACATATGAATGACAATGCACTCTATGAAGTGATGATAAATAACAATGTTTAAAAACTTAGGTTAGACCTTAAGCCACAAAGTAAAGAAACATAAGAAATATAAGCAGAAGG